ATGTGGTTAAAGGGAATTGAACTCAGGACCTCTGGAAGAGCAATCAGTGCTCTTAACCACTGAGCCATCTCTCCAGCCCGATATCTAGTTTCTTGAGTTCTTTATATAGTTTGGAAATCAGTCCTCTGTCAGATGTGGGGTTGGTGAAGATCTTTTCCCATTCTGTAGGTTGTCATCTTGTCTTATTGACTGTATCCTTTGCCTTACAGAAGCTTCTCAATTTAGGAGGTCCCATTTATTAATTGCTGCTCTCAGTATCTGAGCTACTGGTGTCATATTTAGGAAGTGGTCTCCTGTGCTTGTGCATTAAAGGCTATTTCCCACTTCCTCTTCTGTGAGGTCCACTGTGGCTGGTTTATGTTAAGGTCTTTGATCCATTTGGACTTGAGTTTTGTGCATGGGGATAGATATGGATCTGTTTGCATTTTCATATATGTTGACATTCAGTTTGTCAGCACCATTTGCTGAAGACACTTTTTTTAGTCAATTGTATAATTTTAGATTCTACCAGGAAATTCCTACAGTTGATAAACACCTTCAGTAATGTGGCAGAATAAAAGATCAACTCAAAAAAATCAGTAGCTCTCCTATATACAAATGATAAAAGTTTTGAGAAAGAAATCAGAGAAACATCACCCTTTAAAACAGCCACAAACCGCATAAACTATCTTGGGGTAACTCTAATCAAACAAGAACTTTAAGTCTTTGAAGAAAGAAATTGAAGAAGACATCAGAAAATAAAAAGATCTCCCATGTTCTTGGGTAGGTAGGATCAACATAAAAAAATGGCAATCTTACCAAAAGCAATCTACAGATTCAATACAATTCCCATCAAAATCCCAACACAATTCTTCATAGTCCTCAAAAGACCAATTCTCAACTTCATATAGAAAAACAAAAAACCCAGAATAGCCAAAACAATCTTCTACAATAAAGAAACTTCTGGAGGCATCACCATCCCTGACTTCAAACTCTACTCTAGAGCTATAGTAATGAAAACAGTTTGGTATTGATATAAAAACAGACAGGTGAACCTATAGAATTGAATCAAAAGACCCTGATATTAATCCACACACCTATGAACATCTGATTTTTGACAAAGAAGCTAAAATTACACAATGTTTTACAGATTCTTAAGTATGTGCATTGTTTCTTTAAGAAGGCTCCTGGTGCTAAGAATTAAGTGCAGAAACCAGCGCCACAGTCAATAGAAGACCAAGGTTTTCGAGTGCATCCAGGGCATAGTTTCTAAGGATGTGGCTCCCAACTTGGGTACCAGAAGGAAGACAAGCAGGCCTTACTGCTTTTCATGCTCTTAAGTCTTCCTAGCTCACACCTGGATGATTTCACCATGGACTTGGTGCTTCCAACACAGCAGATAACCTCAAAATCATCTATGTTTAACTTTGGGTGGCACTGCCTGGTTCTTCAACTGGTGAATTTACCTTTTGAATTGTGTTTTGCTTAGTCCAACACTGATGTTAATTTGCATCCCCTTAACTGAAGGCTGGTCAGGAGGAGGGGGGAGAAGAGAGTAAGCAGAAGAAATCAAGAGGATGGTCGTTGTCTGGGGAACTGGCTTGGGACACGAAATTAGATGCACATCATTTGCTCTGGGGACAATCCCCTCATAGGTAATTACAATCAGGGTCTAGAAAACTGACTATTCCTTTGACAAACTGCTGTGTTAGGTCTGCTACAAATAAATGTGTTTACAAGTAGCTGCCTTTAAAATCCATGAGTGTAGGATCATATTTCTCACCTCTGTGTTGCAGTTATCCGTTTCTGGACACTGGCTTTTTTTTTTGCCTAAAAACAAACAAACAAACAACAACAAAACATATACTGTTTCAGGTCAAAGGAAGCCCTAGGCGATATGGCTTGTTAAGTGGCCGTTCGTCTTTTCATAGTGTAAGTAATGAGCTTATGTTAGCCTATTAGTGTGTGTGAGGTACAGCTATGAAGGCAGTCTAGCAAAGCTATCCTGGCTGAGGCATTATATCATATGGTCTTGGCAGAAATGTGTACCTAAGGTAGAGACAGAGATAGAGCAACATAAAGGGTTTTCTTCCTTTCTTTGTCTAACATCTGCAGGATTCCCAGTGGGCCATCTCCAAGTCTCTAATGCTGTTAGTTTCTCTCTCTCTCTCTCTCTCTCTCTCTCTCTTATATCTATCTATATCTATATCTACATCTATATCTATATCTATCTCCCTCACATGAGTGTGCACTGTGCATGTGATGTATGTTCTTCTTCATATAATGTATTGTGAAGACATTTCCACTTCACTCCATAAAGTCTCCTTGTTTTTCTGAAATATCCGAATAGCATGCATGAATGGACTAGTTGTTTTTTTTTAACCAGCTCCCTGCAAATAGGCCTCTAGACTATCTCTATTTCTTCCCCATTACAGCCAGTGTGAAAGGAATATTTTCGTGACTACTGTAGGCCACCATTTCCCAGGAGAATTGTTAGGACACAGTTGTCTGTTTTAAAACAATGAGTACACACATGTAAGATTTTCTTTCATATCAAATTTTCTTTTTCTTATTATTATATTGACCTTAAATTTGTATGTAGACCAAGATCCATACCAATGCAAACTATTCATCTCTTTATCATACCCCCGTTTAAATGTAAGCAATAATTTATAAACAATATTTGGGAATTTGGGTATTGGTATTTCCAGACTGCTTCCTTCTTTTTGTTGGATGAAGCATTTTCTTTTTGGGGGTTCACAGAGACCTTTCAGGGGGTCTTAGTCCATCAAACCACATTATTCTGGAAGGAATCCACAGGTTCTCATCCTCTGTGGAAATAAAAGCAGAACCTTTTTTCCAAAGCAATATCTCCTTAGACACAATATTGAAATGAAGCTACCTTTAAAGTATATATGTTGGTTTAGCTTAGCAGCCCATTCAATAAAATATCTCTTTGTACTTAGCTCATTCACAATCAAAAAATTCAAAGAAAACACAATATTATGCACAATCCAGATTCTCTGTATATATTTCATCTTTACCTGACTTACATATTTTTTACTCCTTTAATCTATGACTGTCTGTACTGTGTCTGTTTAAAGACTTTACTTTTTCTTTTTAAACCATTTACTTCTTTTTATAACTATTTTTTCTCTGACCCAAGCCCACATACATTTATCTCAACACCATGACCCATTTAGAGATCTTACCCATCTGAACTTGTCTTTATTGCATATCTGTAATTATTTTTTGACCAGGAGCTCTTTAAAAAAATGGTAAGTGGGCATGACTAGGACCAACTCCGTGGCACTGCCTGTTATCTCTGCCCATTCCAACACAACGGAGGCATGTTCATTGCCTCTGAAAGCCATGCACATTGCTCCAGCTATAGGGTCACAGCAGGTCTTGTCACCATTAAGCAATTTGTAACATGCTACTCACAAACCCCGTTTAAGTTCTTGCCCTCCAGAAAGAGGCAAAGCTGTTCTTGCAACTAGCATGAACCAGGAAGCTGCCATTTCAAAACTGCACTCTTTTTTAAATTTTTTTTTTTGCTGCTAATGCTGAATCAGGAAGACCCCAATTAAAGGAGCTGCAGCATGCCACCAGTAAACAGAGCCCACCTTCCAAAAAATGCAACTAAGCTTTGTTTTTATTTGTGTGTCTGGAATTCCCTTCCAAGCTCTCTCAGGTTTTGTGTGGATTTAGCTGTCACACAATGGCGTGCCAATTTGTAGGCAGAGGCTGTTCGTTCTTTTCCTGGCCACTCAGACCTGAAATAACCACATAGAAACTATATTAATTAAAACACTGCTTGACCTGTTGTGGCGAACCCCTTGACCAGCAAGGAAGAACGACCACGAATTGAGGATTCTTCTCACATCACACTTTATTGGAGCCTCTTGGTTAAAGGGAGAGCAGGAAGCGAGAGAGAGCAAGAAACGAAAGAGAACAAGAAGAGAGAGAGAAAAAGCAAGAGAGAGCAAGAACCAAGTGGCATCTGTTTAAATAGGGTGAGGGGACTTGGGTACTTCCCTGATTGGTAAATACCAGTCTGCTGATGCCCGGAGCCTCGGGATTGGCCAGTGCAGGCAAAGGACACTCAGCACCCATGCAGCAATACCAAATAAGGACTTGATTACCTCCAAGCTGCAGGAATGCTGGCGCCATCTTGTAATGGTGATGTCTCCAGACGGCTCCTTACAACCTGTTAGCTTATGTATATTTCTAGCTGGCTCTTATATCTTAAATTAATCCATCTATATTAATCTGTGCATCAGCACAAGGTCATGGCCTACTGACAAGGTTCCAGCTAGTGGCTCACATCTTTCTCCTCGGTGACTACATGGCATCACTCTGACTCCGCCTACTCTCTCCTCCTCTATCTGCCTGGAATTCTGACCTTTCCCCCATTCTGCACTACAATAGGCCCAAAGCAGATTCTTTAAAAACCAATGGTGTTCATAGCATACAGAAAGGAATCCCACATCATGGCTCCATAAGGAAAACTGAGAAAATACAAACAATAGCTCAGTAGTTTAACCCTATCCTAAAAAAAGAGACACAGGAAAGATGAAATCACAACTAGAATTTTAAAATATTTGAATAACCGTACTTCAATCTGACTATCTTCTTTCCTGTTTGATTTTGTTTATTGAAATTGCCTTGTAGTAGAAACTATGGTCTCCACTATGCTGCATTAGTGATTAGCTCTGATGATAGAGACAGAGCCTTTCTTCACTAAATTTGGCTTATGGTCAACAACAGAAAACTTAGGACAGAAGGAAGATGCTGTATATTATACTGGTACCCAGTCCCTCCATCAACATGCCCACATCACCTGTTACCCATGCAGGCTGAAGATACTCACCATAGTTATGATTTATTGAACATTTCCTACATGCCCCAAATACCTATCTGTGCTCTTCATGCATCTTCTCATTAGTTCCTTATGGAAATTTGATGAAGTATGTATAGTTCTCACTCTCATTTCACAGGTAAGCAACAAGGTTTAAAATGTTAACCACCGGGTGCGCGTGCTCACTTGCGCCATGGCGAGTCCTGGCGAGCTGTAGACCCTGGCACCGGCCGCCGCTTCCTTCGACTACCTGGTGATCCGCGGCGGCTCGGGAGGGCTGGCCAGCGCACTGCAGATGGCGGAGCTCGGCGCCAGGGCCACGGTGGTGGAGGGTCACAAGCTGGGTGGCACTTGCGTGAATGTCGGATGTGTCCCCAAAAAGGTATTGTGGAACACAGGTGTCCACTCTGAATTCATTCACGATCATGTGGATTATGGCTTCCAAAGCTGTGAGAATAAATTCAATTGGCATGTTATCAAGGAGAAGCGTGATGCCTATGTGAGCCGCCTGAACACCATCTACAAAAACAATTTAACCAAGTCCCACATAGAAATCATCCACGGCTATGCAACATTTGCAGACGGTCCTCAGCCCACGGTCGAGGTCAACGGGAAGAGGTATACTGCCCCTCACATCCTGATTGCCACAGGTGGTTTGCCCACAGTTCCTCACGAGAGCCAGATCCCAGGTACCAGCTTGGGAATGACCAGTGACGGGTTTTTTTCAGCTGGAGGACTTGCCTAGGCGCAGTGTCATTGTGGGTGCGGGCTACATTGCTGTGGAAATAGCTGGCATCTTCTCTGCCCTGGGCTCCAGGACATCACTTATGATAAGGCATGATAAGGTCCTTAGGAACTTTGACTCGCTCATCAGTTCCAACTGCACTGAGGAGCTGGAGAACGCTGGCGTGGAGGTGTTGAAGTTCTCCCAGGTTAAGGAAGTAAAGAAAACATCATCCGGCTTGGAACTTCATGTGGTTACTGCGGTTCCTGGTAGGAAACCCACTACAACCATGATTTCAGATGTTGACTGCCTGCTCTGGGCCATTGGACAGGACCCAAATTCTCGGGGCCTGAATCTAAATAAAGTGGGGGTTCAGACCAACGACAAAGGCCATATAATCGTAGACGAATTCCAGAATACCAGTGTCAAAGGCATCTGCGCTGTGGGAGATGTGTGTGGGAGAGCTCTTCTCACCCCAGTTGCCATTGCTGCTGGCCGGAAACTGGCTCATAGGCTTTTTGAATGCAAGAAAGATTCCAAATTGGATTATGACAACATCCCTACCGTGGTCTTCAGCCACCCCCCTATCGGGACAGTGGGGCTCACTGAAGATGAAGCCATTCTTAAGTACGAGAAAGAGAATGTGAAAATCTACTCCACCTCCTTCACCCCGATGTACCATGCTGTCACCACGAGGAAGACAAAATGTGTGATGAAAATGGTTTGTGCCACAAAGAGGAAAAGGTGGTTGGGATCCACATGCAGGGGATTGGCTGTGATGAAATGCTTCAGGGCTTCGCTGTGGCAGTGAAAATGGGGGCCACCAAGGCCGACTTTGACAACACGGTTGCCATTCATCCTACCTCTTCAGAAGAGCTGGTCACACTCCGCTGAGAACCCAGGGACTTGTATGGCTGCGGTCAGACCAGTAGACCTCTGAGAAGAACTGACGAACGGATCAAGTTTACTTCCTGCTCCAGCGTTCTACGTTTATTTTAATCAGGATCTTCTGATAGTGTAAATTTTTAGTTTTTTTAAAAAAAGAACTTATTTATCTAATCTGTAATTTGTTTTGTTAATCTGGGGTTGGTTTTCATTTGATAATATTTCACAGTAATTAATATTTTTAATTTTTTATCCCTGCGCTAGTTCTGTTTTTCTTGCTTCAACATCAGTCCAGGTATAAACAAATATGAAGTACAGTGAAGTTAATGCACCTGACGAATGAATATAGCTGGCTTTTTTTTTTTTGAGACAGTGTCTCTATGCAGCCCAGGCAGGGTGGCCTCAGACTTAAGAACCTCTAGTTATGACCTCATGAGTGTTGGAATGTTGGAATTATAGGCGTGCCTGGCCATTCCTGGCCTGCCTTGTTAGTTTATATGATGGTAAGTCTCCATCTATAAATATGCAAGTATACAGAATGTGTGTGGTTTTGAATCTGCTGGTTTTGTTCCTTGTATTGCAAAGTTGCCTCTCGCTAATCTCTTTGTATTTTTTGCTCTGTTTTAAGTGACTTAGAATGGTTTGCATTGTTTTTATGAAATGAAGTTAGGAGGCTGCTAAATCTGTGAGAGAGCCTCGAGCTGATGTGTTTGCAGGAGGGGTAGCCTCAGCCCCTTCAGGAGTCCTTCCTTCTGAGCACTCACGGTTCAGTCAATCATTTCAATATTTCTGTGGGTTTTGTCATTTTAGTTTTTTTATGAGAACTGTTTTAAAAATTTGCCTTATAAAATTTATTATGAACTTTAAAAAAATGTTAACCACCATAACAAGGCCACACACTGGTGACAGAGCCATGCTGGAGTTGGGGCAGTCTGGTTGCAGAAGCCAGCACTCCTGCGCTGTGCCCGGGGTGTGAGCAGATTAGTCCATCCTTGTGTGGTATAGGGTGAAGGGATTCTTTCATTGCTGTCATATGGTGATTGACAGTCTGTGTGTATAGAACTTTTAAAGCCACATTGAGTACAGATCTAGCAAGCATCTCTCACTGGGTCAAGAAGCTCGAAGCCACATAGCAAAGGGTTCTAGGTGAAGCAGCTGTGGAAATGATGTGATGGTATACTTAAGCTGTGTTCGCTAGTGAGTTATTTGATAAGTTAAACACAGCTGAGTGGCAGCCCCTTTAAACTCACTGTATGTGAACTTGCTCAAGGAGCATAAAACCCAAAAAACAGTGACCGACTGACACCAACGGTTATCTCTCTGATGGAGCAGGAATCACTGGCTAATTTTTACTGCTGACAGAAAGAAGCCTGAGGATTGGGAAAAACAGCTGCTTCTTCACTCAGCTTACACACACACACACACACACACACACACACACACATGCTGTAGGAAGTCTTACAACCAGTGGTTACCCACCCACTGGGGCGTGGCCTCTTACACTATGATGTAGAGTATGTGTCCGCTCTCTTTTTCTGGCTGCAGGATTCAGTTTCTGATCACCATTCAAGCAGAGGATTCTGATTTGTTAGGCTATTTCTCAATTATTTCTCAAAACCATCTATTTCTCAATCCTGAGCTAGTGTGGGATTTCTTTTAAGCATCCTTCTTCACACACATACACTATCAGATGGTTGTTAAGTCAGATGTTTTATATATAGGCTGTGGCTATGTCTCCATTACTACTGATGTCTACTGATGTTCATATATAATATTCTGTACTATTGTTTGTTGGTTTGTGTTTAAGACATTCTTCCTGTGTAACCTTGACTGGTATAGTACACACTCTGTAGCTTAGGTTGGCCTCAAACTCATGACAATCCTCCTATTTCAGCTTACTGAGTGCTAGAATTACAGGATTTTGTTAAGATTGCCAGGCTGGCCTTGAACTTGAAATCTTCTTGACTTATCTCCTGAGTAGCCGGAATTAGAAACTTATTCCTTGAGGACTGATTTCACTATGATTTTTAAAGTGTTAGGAAAAATATTCCCATTAACTTTCCTGTGAAATTTTTGTATGAGCCTGTTACAGTTGGAATAAAGTCTGTCTGCATGTTAGTAACCCCCAGTAACATCAAATTTTGTTACATATCACCCACACTTTTTCCTCTGCATGTGCCAGAGCTGTTTTAGAAGGTGCATTGATGATAAGGAATCTTCCAGATTGGAGTTCCATTATCCTCACTTTTTGTCCCCAGCAGCATGATATAATATGAATATTCAGCACAAACAATCATGATTATTTCAACATGATAGAGGAGGAGAAAGGCACACCCAATGAGTGCAGTCTGAGTGATTTTTTGTTGGCACACTACACTTATATTTTTATTTTCATCGGCCCTAGGTCAGTCTGGGTGAGGGATGCTGAATGTACCAAACTTAAAATTAGTGGTTGCACTCCTATGCTGTAGGACAAACTGGATGTAAGTATCCATTTACAGCCTTAGCCACAATTACTACTTGGACATCTTAATGATGTCCTTAATGATGGTTGATGACACCACTGGCGTGGCATGTCACAAGTTCAGTTGCTTTCAAAGACAAATAAATGCCTTGAACATTATATCCTGGGAATCCAAATATGTAGTGTGACGTTGCCACATACCACAGGGTATTAGAGGGCCAGCCCATCTGGACTGTATATTGTTGCAGTGGCGGCTCGTTTATGCAAAACCTCGACTCAGACAGTGCCTGAAAGGGTGATAACACCAGGTTCTCTACATCTTTGTGAGGTATGGGGATGGAGGCTTTGCTTAATCTTTTGAATTCTGTCACTTCGGCAACTGCACATGCTGCTTGAACAGAAGGCTGTTTCCGTATTTTCAATTACAACAGAAACTCTACTGAAACAAGCTTCATTTAGGAATGCCTGGGCCGTTGTCAAAATTTGTTAAGGTGCAGTTTGAAAAATATCAGCGTCTTCTAGGAAAGTAAACACACATATGTCTTTGGAAATCTGGAATCAAGCAAGCAGATCATGCATTCCTTTGAGTTGCTGGCTCATTTTCCTACTTTTTGATTTGCAAAGATATAATTTTGTTGATGTTTTTCTCGAGCAGGTGGAAGTCATAATAGAACCATGCAAGGCAGGAAAGAGTTGCTAGGCAACTATTCTCAGTGTTTAAAAAAATTCCAAACGTTCCTTTTAAATATCAGAAAGATTGGTGATCTTGAATTTGGCTTTTAGTGAACCTATGCAGTTTACAAAAGTAGCACCACCATTGTCCTGTTTCCTGCTCTGTAATAACCTTCATCAGTGATGGCACATTCTTCAAAGACGGTTTGAGGCCTCGGTCAGGCTAGTTGTGGAATGCAGCAAATAGAGTTAAAATGCTTGATCCTCTTTCAGTTATAGCTGTGGAAGTTTGAGATCTATTGACTTGACGTGACAGGAGGATTCTTAAATGCTATTTATTTTTCTTTCTTTTTTATTTTATTTAACTTTATTTCATGCGCATTGGTATAACGATGTCAGATTCTCTGGAACTGGAGTTACAGACAGCTGCGAGCTGCCTTGTGAGTGCTGGGAATTGAACCCGGGTCCTCTGGAAGAGCAGTCAACATTCTTAACCACTGAGCCATCTTGCCAGCCCCAATGCTGTTTATTTTCAATGTACTTAGAGTTAAAATTATATCTATGCAAGTCTTGGGTACTTTAGAAGAGTGAAGTCGTTGTTGGCACTGGATTGTAATTTCGCTCCGATAAAAAAAAAAAAACAAAAAACCCTCAACCTCCTACCCCCCCCACTCTGCAAAAAATAAAGTCAATTGATTTGCCATAAATGAATTCAAGAATTTTGAAACACTGATGGTCATTGCACCAAGGGTAACCATGTGGGGCTGGGATCATTTACATGTGTTTATCCTCCCTGGTGCTACCTGAAGCCTGGAGAGTGGTCAGCTTTGGTTACAGTCATATATCATGCAAAGGGAAAGTTGAATGACCTCTTCAAATTGCTCTGTACTTGACCATGATATCCATAGAGGCTCAAAAAAAAAAAAAAGGCAAAGCAGCTCTTTGGCATGCCTCGTATGTTTCCATCATCGTGACTTTCCACGGGCCATTGGAAATGACAACTGGCAAGCACCTGACACCCGAGGCAGACCTGCTGCTGAAGGGCATGTGCTCCACGCGTGTCCAGATGCTAGAGATGCGGAAGTCATTACCCCCTTCTCACAGCGCCATTGAATTCTGAAAGGGACAACACTGGTGTTTCCAACTCTGACTGGTGGTCTTGAACAAAGTGAGGACTGTCAAAGTTTGCCTTTGGACCGGGTTGATTTCTCCTGTGCTGTTCCATTCTGCTGCCATTCTGGCTGTCCCGAAACCCCAGCACAGAATCCCCCTGCCATTTGGATGTGCAGAACAACTGGGCGCATCTCCTGTGAGAATCTCCTGTCTTCCGCCTTCATAAAGTTTTATCATAGCAGTCTTTCTTTGGGCCACCAATCAACTCCCAAATCATGACATGGAGACTTATTGTTAGTTACAAATGCTCAGCCTTATCTCATGCTTGTCCTACTAGGTCTTACCTCAGATTTAACCTGTTTCTCTTAATTTACATTTTACTTTTCTTTCATTCTCTTTGTCCTACTCTGTATCTGGTTGACAGGCAGCTGCCTGGCTGACTGGTCCCAGGTGTCCCCTCTCCCATTCTCCTCCTCCTCCTCCTTCTCCTCTTCCTCTTCTTTCTCTCTCTCTTCTTCTCCCTCTCTCTCTTTCTTATTCTCCCACCTACTTATTCTGTCTGCCTGCTAACCCCACCTATTTATTGACTGTTCAGCTTTTTATTAGACCAATCAGATACCTTAGACAGGCAAGGTGAAGGAGCAATACATCTGTACATATTAAACAAATGCAGAATTAACAAATATAACACAGTTTTACATAATAAAAGTAATATTCAACAACTTCCCCTTTTTTGTCGAAATAAAATTGCCTATCTATAGAACATTCATCTGTTTATTAAGCCAATCAGGTACCTTAGGCAGGCAATACATTGTTACTTTGTTAGACAAATACAGCATAAACAAATGCAAGAGTTAACGTGATATTCCACAGCAACCCCATCAGGGCAGGGCAGAAG